AAAGGATCCAACAGCTTACTTATTAATCTTGCTTATTGGCAACCCGATTCATTTTTTAAATTTTAATATTAAATATTCACTGAAAATTCTCGGCGAATAATTGTCTTATTATACAAAGGGTCGCTTACATATAAACGGAGAAATGTCAGAAAGTCGTTTATCAATTCGCTGTTAATTGTTTCCTGTTTAGGATAGGAATTTTTGTATGTTTATATAGAAAATTCCACATGTGTAATACTACTGTAAAATATGCACAATTAACGAATTGCCACTCGATTTCATTAGAATATTCGTATACTGAAAGCTCACTGGGGCATTCAATGAGTAGTTTTAAATGATGATTAAAATCATCATGAACAAAAGAAAGTTAATTATCTATAAGAAAAGTGTTTAAACTTGATAATAAACAACTTTGTTAGAATAAAACTTCAAAACCCTCAGGAATGAATGAATGCTTTTAAATTAAAAATTTCGAAATTATAATTCGAAATGCGGCAATATTAGGTCAAAAACTTTGACCCCGAGCTGTCAAAAGGCACCCACATTTTGACGCGATTGTTTGGTTTGACAGAGCAACAACAACAGGTAAAATTTTACATTTTTCCCATGCAAATGACCCCTCCCCCGTGGGGGGGGGGGGGGGGGTACTCAGTACGCTGAGTCTTGATCAAGTCTACACCCGCTAGCTGTTGATTTTGGTAGTATTTATATTTATTTGTTTCAGCTTGTAACAACAACAGAAGGTTTCAAATTTTACATTTTTCTCATGCAAATGACCCCCCCCCCCCCTGGGGGAGGGGAGGTGGGTACTCATCCCGATCTTGAGAGTAGGGGCGTTGCGCCCAGGCTGTCCGAACCCTGACCCTGTTTATGATTATGGCAAAAATTTTGCACTTCCCCTACCCTGTTTATGACATGAATTGAAAAAAAGACGAACCGTGGGTGCTTATCTGAACATTTGATTTCTGGATCTGTTGAGGAGGTCGGACGGCAACCGGGGCCTGCAGAAAATGTCGGGGAAAATATTTCCTGGTAACTGAAGGGCACCCCATGGTGTACCCTGTCATGTCTAAGACAGAGTCGACGAGTCAAAAACTCATACCCTGTTTATGAATCTAGGTCGAAAACCATACCTTATTGGGCGGCACATCCCTTTATAGGCTATATTTGTGTTTCTTCTAACGTAACAATATCAAAACACGGTCACGCGAATATCATGAGATACCGCACGCCAGAGAATAATATTTACGGATCAAAGTTTCGAACGACGAAATTTTCGGGCCGGTAGTTATTTCACTAACTCTATTTTTATACATGTTTTTATTTCATTAGTTATTTTTGCCTTACAATGACTTCCCTCGTCTTTCTGACCCGGCTTTCTGATTAACCTTCAAAATGTTGAACTCGTCACAAAGATTGCGCGACGAGCGGAAACGTGCGGACTGACTGAAATGTTTTTATGACGTTGGCTATGTAAAGTTGGGCTAAGCCTGTCTGCGCACTTCCGGTAATAGGTCTTGTATATTGTAGCGGCTCTCTGACCCTCTTTTAAAAGTTTATATATTTTCGGAAATTTAATGAGCTGTTTTTGTCGTTTTACCGGCCGAGTACGTACGCTATTAAAAATTAAAAGGCGAAGAAAAAAAAACAAGATATAGTACGCTCGCGTGACTCACGTGACTTGCGTTACTTTTGATAATGACGTTGTTTTTTTTCTCAAAAAATTCCTTTTCCGGTTTGCCTTTAACAGGCTAAAACTGTTTGAGTGTTATTCATTAGGGGTTCAGGCGGTTTAAAATAGATAAATTGGTTGGATATCGATCCAGAACAGCTTGAGACAGCATCAGATCAGAACAGAACAGAACACGGACAACATCTAGCTCAGAAAATTCAATCAAGGTAAAGAAATAATTGATACATTTGATTACATGTATACTTTCACTTTACATTCTCTCAAACGTTGTGGGATTCATACGGGGATTCAAATTCTTTGTAGGAATATCCCACGATATCACCGTGTACTTCATCCAGTCTTCCACTGTTATGCATGGCCACAGGAGTTGCCAAGCGAGACGTAAATAGTAAAATATGCGCTGGACAGTTTGATTTGTGCGTCGAACTTTGTGGTTTATCTTCGAAACTAGAACTACATTGTATTAGGGGTCACTTGGCAGGAAGGCCATGAGTTTTATTGATGGAGTGTCGCCAAAATTTTCTTAAATCTCGGCTAAGCCTCGGAATTTTACAATGGCGGTAAATCATTATTTTTTTGGTAACAATTTTCTTGGTCTCTGGACAGTGTAAGGGCGACTCTGCACGTCTCAGATCGTTAATCACAAGTCTACACCCACTAGCTGTTGATTTTGGTAGTATTTATATTTGTATCAGCTTGTAATTACCTGAGAATTACTGAGCATTGACTTCATGACATAAATTCCATAGTAGAAAAAATAAAAGGGCCTCATAATTGGGTTATTTCGGGGGGGATTCAATCCAATCTCGCCTTTTTCTAGCCTGTTCCAGGCTCTCGGATAGTGGGGACGAAAGCGAACGGCCGCGCGAAGGTAGTCTGTTCATGAGACAAAATGTCGTGTGTGGCTCACGAGATCTCACTGACTTTCGACACTTCAAATTTCGAATGAAGTACAATTATGGTAAAATCAAGGCTCCACTTCCGGCTCTACGTGGACGTGTACGGAGTGTAGAAGAAAAGACTCGCTTAAAAATTATCACAACTTTGGACGGTTCCAGATCTAGAGCCGGGCGGACGCGCGAACAACGATCAGTTCATGACCGAGTATTTACTTATCGTCTCGGCTATTTATTATTTTTTTAGGTCATAAGTATCTGCCACGTGTTGGTAGGTCAACAGTTTTAGAAATAAATTTCGCGGGGGAGGGGAGAGGGGTGAGTATGTCGGCGTAAGGGCTTACCTTCCGCTGAGAGGCAGTGGAACCCGATTTCTCGAACAAAAAGTGGCCCTTGGACTTGTTTTCACTGTAATTTTACCTCCGATATTTCGAAGTTCCCGACTTCTCGAACCAATTTTCGTAATTAATTCCCGTGGAGGTTCGAGAAATCGAAGTTCCAGGGAAATTATTCGAATTTTCATTCCTTATTTGACTTGTTTGACTAATTCTTGGTTAGCCTGGTAGAATTTTGCCTAGTTCCTAGGCCTCTATATTTCGCCGCGGTCAATCCGTTTCGGATGGGTCACGTGGTGCAAGCGAATCTCGGATACGTCACCGAAATGAATTGACCGCGAAGGACTGGGAGAAAGCACAGGAACTAGGCAAGGTAGAATATGGAACGCGCAAGTGAGGGAAGTGATGCCCTCCCTCTATTTTCTCTCCTCGCGCGTAGACCTTCTCTCTCGCGAGCGCCTCTTTTCGTTACGTTCTCCGCCGAGGTAACGCATGTTAACGTTAAATTCTGGGCCGATTTTGTAATAACTACATTTCATGTTCTGTTAAACCCCCAGCAGCCATGCCCAATCAGTTTCAAAAGGATTGTTTAAACGCACACAATCAGTACCGGGGCCAGCACGGAGCACCTCCGTTAAAATGGTCATCAAAAACTGGCTTCAGACGCTGAGAAATGGGCCAAGGAACTAGTGAAGGTTAAATCGCCTTCAACACTACAGCGGGGATGATGGAGAAAACCTGGCCTATGCTTCAGGTAACTGTTGGTTTTGTTTCATTTGTTGCCGTTTGTTGTGGAGTTTTGGTATTTGAACTTTCTTGTGGTGCTGCGTATTGTGCTTTATTATACAGCTGTTTCGAGAAAGGTTGTCGGAAAAAATCGCACGCGACAATCCCGAAAGGTAATCTGGGATATGATCAGCAAGGTACGTTCCTGACACTGTAGCTGTCGAACCTACTTTTGTTGCTTTCTTTTAGCACTCGCAAACATACGTCCATGGCGTCTCGTGCCATTTTCTCAGATTTCTCTGAAATGCTGAAGTCAGGGAACCGTGAACTTAGAACTACACACAATACCTTCCGGGATTGTCGCGTGCGCTTTTTCCGACAACCTTTCTCGAAAACAGCTGTATGGCAAACTGGTCCACGGTGAAAAGGAGCGTTCTGATTGGTTCCCTGAGCGGTCCGAATTTGTAATACGGACCGCTAAGATGGACCGCTCACGAACTCATCTCGCCGAATTCTTTTTTATGACATATTGATCAAAAGAAAACTATTTCCTATTAAGTAAAAAACATTTTTCCTTATGTCTGGCGGACAATTTCGGTTAAACTTTTCGCTGAGTGGCCTGAAAAATGCAAGTATATGCTTAACGTTGGCGCGCGCGCGTTAGCCGAGAATAGTTGCATTCAATTTATCAGCAAAGTTTTAAAAAGCCATTATAATAAAAACTTTATTGAACTAGCTTGTTCGGTCCGTATTGAGAAATATTGGCCTCGTTCTTCGGCTCGGTCCATAAACTTGCAAAAAAAGAACTCGAGCGATATTTCCCCAATACCGCCCTCGCACTAGTTCGATAACATCTATGTACAAAAAGGTGGTCCTACTAAGGCCCCGTCCACACGTATCCGTTTTCGTTCAGACGCCTCTAAAGAGCATGCGCACCACTGAGTTTAGCCGAGCCTGCGAGCTGTTTATAGCTTTTTATCGCTTTTACTAGTCTTTGGCAAAAAAAAGCATTTGAAATGTTTCTCCTGAAGTGCGTTTGAAATTCATAAGAGCAACATTCAACTGCAGACATGCAATTAAGCTTCCGAATTCAAACGAAGTAAGAGAGATGCTAGCCTGTGAGTCCGCCATGTTGACTGAAGCGTGCGCGTGCGCAGTGAACTGAATTCGGCCTCTTGACGTCATCGTTTTCGAAAAGTTCCGTTTTCAGTGTCCACACGAGAAAACGAAAACGGCGTTTTCAAAAGTTTCCACTTTGGAAAGCGTTTTCAAAAGTTTGCGTTCGGTGACCGTTTTCATCGGATACGTGTGGACGGAAGTTACATTTGAACCTAGTTATATGGCCTTAGCTCCCACGAGTCTCATGTAGCTCAGTGGTAGAGCGTCCGACCGATGTGCGGAAGGTCATAGGTTCGACTCCTGTTTGGGGAACTCGGAATTTGTTTCCTAGTAGCTTGTGTCACTGACAGAATAATATCGTTCTCGTGCCTTTTGTATATTTCTTCTCTTCATCCACAGGTTATGAAATGACGGGTCAAAGAGCGGTGGACATGTGGTACGAGGAGATCCAAGACTACAGTTATGGCAACCCGGATTTTCCTCAGGGACGGGCCACTTTACACAGGTTGTCTGGATAGGGTCCCAGGAAGTGGGTGTCGCCAAAGTTAGCAACGCCAATGGGACACAATACGTAGTAGCACGTTACTACCCTGCCGGGAATGTGCTTGGGCGCTTTCCGGAAAATGTCAAGCGGAAAGGATCCAAAATTTCCAAGGACGCCGGCAAGCAGACAGAACAGTCACGCGGCGGTAAACCCACGGGTGGCAACGTCCGCGTGACTGCTAAAACCGGTGGAGATCAAGACAAACCACGTAAGTTTGAATGGCATCAATGAATTAACTTTGTAAGCTGGTGGCCTTCGCATCCTACGCCGACCCCGGGGGAGGGGGGGGGGGGGGGACTTTGTGGTGGAGGTGTGCCGTCCGCTTCTTTTTATAACCCTTCCCGCGTTTTCAGACCAAACTATGCAATTTTCCCACCCAATTTCAGACCTGACCAAAAAAGTTAGACGTACCAAAATGGAAAAATCTATATCCCATCTCAGTCAAGCAAGCAAAACACACCTAATTTGAGAGCAAAATTATTAAATCAGTCAAAATCTATGCCCGTTTAGAGACCAAAACGGCTCAGAAACCATACCCTTTCCTTTGGGGCGGTACATACCTATATAGCTTATATAAGGGAGTACCCCCCCCCCCCCCCCCCCCCCCCCCCCACCCCACCCCGGGTGGAGGCTATTGAAATCCTAGATCTTGGAATGTAGAAGTAATTTACGTTCGTTACTGTTAAACGGTTCATTTATTTCTCTTTTCAAAACAGAAAGTTCCAGGGAATTCAAGAATGAAATTCTCAAGTCGCATAACGAAATCCGCACTCAACATGGCACCCTTCCTCTAAGTGGAATTCTAGTCTAGCGTCAGAAGCTCAAAGCTGGGCGGAGGACTTGGCGAGTCGAAACACTATTCAACCTAGCAGCTCTAATGACTATGGAGAGAACATTGCTTATATGACCGGTAAGAGCATGTTATTGACTGAGTTCAGTATCATTCGCGGAGTACAGTAATTAATCGCCGCTTCATATACCTAAATTGACGTTAGCTAGCCCGGCCTAAAATAGGTTAAGCCCGGACCAAACGAGGATGGGAGTTGTTGAGTTCAAACTCTCACTCTCGTTTGGCCTGAAACTCTCAAGCACTCTCATCGATTCTCGTGCACTCTCATCGAATTTGAAGACTTACTCATTTTTTTCTTGAGAGTCTTCGACGACTCTCGCTCGATAGTCAATGAGAGTTGAAGAAAACTCTTATGAGAACCAACTCTTATCCTCGTTTGGCCCGGGCTTAAATGTTAATAACATTCCTCGGTCGGGGCAAAAAATATATCAATGCTACTACAACAATTCTTTCTAAGGGCCGCCTAAGTTAGACCTTATTTAAATTAAAACGTTTTTGTCACTGACTCATTGTCATAGTTGTTTAGACGTTTCGGCTAGTGCTTAAGCCTTCATCAGTAATGAAAATGGGAACGTACGTTGTTACACGCTATTTGAATAAAACGTAGCGCGAGGCTTGTGCGCGTGACCAAATAAACGTCATTCTTTGAATCGCTCATGCTCGTGCAATGCATTTGTAGGACTGAGGGATAATGATGTGATCATTTCAGCGTCTGGGTCTGTCGTAGAATGCCAGCCTTCAAGAAAAAGTCGCTCGTGGTAATTAGCCTCACGTCAACAACGTTAGCGTTTTTAAAATCCATTTGATGGTTGAAATTGTGGACATGGCAAGCAACTTTGGAGTTGTGGTCGAAACTAGTTAGACCTTGTTTGCATGTGCCGGACTAAATTGAGGTTTGCGCAAGGATTCTGTAAATCATGGTAAACCAACACTATAGGCGGAGGCGATGGTTGTATGACCTTGTTTTACAACGTGTAAAAAACCAAAGCAATTCGGTGATTACTCAGTTTCGCCGGACACTCAATTGAAAGCCGTTCTAAGCCGCAGTTTATGTAAGCTGCGTTTAGACGTGATGTGACAAGTGTGGTTATTCAGCATGGTTTAAAATTAAATCTCGTTTAGACCACGGACTTTTTAAACGCTGTCGACTAAACTTTGTTTAAAAATTGGCCCTAACTCAGTTTGCAGTGGTCTTCTTGGATTAATTTATCCGATTTCACTGTCAACATTTTGATTTCGCATCTTTGCCGACTGTTTATCGGGTTTGCTTAAATAACTTTTACACATTTATCAGACAAGTTTTCGTTTCTTTTTTCTCCACAGGAGCGCAACTTACAGGGAGAAAAGTGACTGACATGTGGTACGAGGAACACGATAAGTACAGCTTTGGAAACCCAGGATTTAACAGCACTACCGGCCATTTTACACAGATCGTTTGGCAAAATTCCAAAGAAATGGGAGCCGGCAAGGCTGTCAGTTCAAGTGGCGCACAGTTTGTTGTAGCGCGCTATCAACCCCCAGGGAATGTCCGAGGGCAGTTCCCTGAAAATGTGAAACCCGCAGGGAGCGGAGGTGGAGGTACGTGATTGGATAATACGATATCATAGCGCTTCGCATTTCCCGCTCTTTAACGTATTCGTGACTCTCTCCAGTCCCACTCCATGTGTTCACACTCGCTCCAGACCCTTTTTGAGAGGACGCGTTCTTTTCGGATGTCACGCAAAAATAAGAACTATATATTTTGCATTCTGTTTTACTGAATTATGAAACAAAGAGGTATTTTTCTGTGATGATCGAGTTCTTAATTTCTTTGCCGACTAGAATTTATCACCAAAACTAAGGGTCAAGGCAATATTAATAATAGCCTCATGTTTAGTTTGTCGCGCAAATTTTTCTTTATAAAGGAGCCAAAAGAACTTTTGTACGAAACAAAAACATTGTTTCACTGTGGTTACTGAAAAGCTATTGTCAATAAACTTTCAAGCCAAACGTTCAGTTTTCTTACTCCGATAACGTGTGGAAAACGTAGAGAGATTGTTCGCTCTAATAGCTCTCTAATAGCTATTCAGAAACATAATCGACGGATCATATTATGTTTAACATTCGTGAAATTTTACAACTCCTGTTGAAGTCGTTTATTTATTCTTTTTTCAGGTGGAAAGAGTTGCTGTGTGATACTGTAAAAGCAAATAAGGAAACTTATGACTGGGGACTCTTCAGAAATACGAAATGGAATTCCTCTGTTGGACATACGTATAATTGAGACAATAAGGACATTGAACAAACAAACAAATACTGGTAGAAAGCAAAGAAACCGCATTTTATAAACCACGGATGCCGGAATAATTTTTTAATAAGTTTAATATATTTGCATAGCACGTTTGATCTGTCCACCGCGGTCAAACGTCAAACAAAAATAAACTACGCCGACAAACCTCGTCATTATACCATGTTTTAAACACGTCTAACTTTTTTGGTAAACGACCAAAAAAAAATAAACAGGTAAATCAACACTAATGCTGGAAATATACTGAACTTTGTGCTTGAAAAGTCTAAACTTTTCCTTTTACCTACTTTTGTTTCCTTTCGCAAATTACTATCAAGGTTTTAATTTCGGGTTGTTGCAATGGTTTTCCTTCAAAATTTTGCGCGGGGAATTGGCGCGCTTTATACCAGAATTTACGCCTTTGCGCATGCTCGAGCGTTTGACCGCGGTGAAGATCTGAAGAATATTGAATGCCTAAATAGCAAGTTTAAGAAAAGGTCTGGAAGTATAACTCGAAAGTATATTCAACAAATTTAGTGTAGTTGCTTTTTTATAGGCGTGTAATTCAGTAATTATAATATTTTGATACTACTCCGTTAGAAAGGCCAAGGTATCCTTACCTCAATGTCATGGTAAACAATAGTAAAATATCTTTGATTATTAATATCAGCTTATGTTTTACTGAACAGTTTTTATGCTATTACTAACATAGCCAGAAATTCCGAACGCGCGTGAGCATTTAAACCGTGACGGTCCGTGACCGTTAAAAAGAAAATGGCGGCTCCAAACTTACAGAGATTCGTATGAAGTCGAAACAAAAACATGATATATCTAAACCGTGGCGTAAAAAGGACATCTATCTCCATAAATATTGGGAGATATGACTTTAGTCATCTCCTGTGAGGTTTCAAAACCGTGATATATCGAATATTCATTGCGGTTTTTAAGAAAGTAGTTTAAGGACTAACACGATAAGACAGGCCATACAATTGCTTACCTCTGAGGTGACACAAGCTAAATTCACTCCATGCGAACTGTCTCCAAGCCTTTCTAGATGTAGCTATCCTCTCATCCCCGTTAAATTTTTGAAGTTCGAAGGTGTCTTCGTATTTCCCTGAAGGCTTTTGTAGCCGTTGAAATCTTGCGGTTTTCAGCAGTATTTGTCGAGGAAAAATTGAAGCTAAAGGACGCCATTATTGAACGAAATCGGTTTGCTCCAGCGCGCTTCGTGGCAAAAAAAAACAAAACAAAATCAATAGACGAAAACAGCCGCCATTTTGCAAAACATGAATGAAAAGAGAAGAGACTGGGGTTCACAGAAAGGCCTGGTAGCTTAGCTTTGTTTGTCATTTAATTTATGCAAAAGGAAGTCAAAGGCAGTCACGATTGAGTCACGAAGTAAAAACATTTGCTCAATTTAACAGAATAAAGCATGTCTGCTGGTAAAATTGATCGTGAAAGCGAGATTAAGTACTCTTAAATACGGTGACTTTCGTTTCACTCTGGATTTCTGTCGATTGCTTTCTTTTGTGGACCACAGAAAGCAAGAATATGCCTCTCATCAGGAATCCCGCGTGACAACAACTTGATCTGAAAAACGTGGCGCGACGTAACTGGTAATTGACCAATCGTGTGTCTTCCACGCGCGACTG